GGGCGGGGCGGGGGGGGGGCGAGGAAGCAAAGTGGCCAGGTCAGTCATGTGAGAGTCCAGTGCCTTGTACCTATTTTTCTGTTTTTGTTCAAATACTTTAGTACTTTTTTCTTTATTGCTACGTAAGTTCATGCGGGTGGATATGCTTTCTCAGGTGCATATGCTTTAGTTTAGCTATTTCCCTGTTACTGGCAGGTTGGTTGTTAACACATTTTAATCATTAAAAATAATTTTGGAATTAGAAGCGTTTTTCTTTTTCATATGTTTATTGCTTTTTGGAACTCACATTCTTTATTTCCTTAATGCTTTTTGATCCTTATTATCACCACGTAAGATAGAAAATATTTACATGTGAGGGAACTGATACATATGTATATATATTTTTTCCTTTTGAATTATTCAGTCTTATTTCTTAGAGGTACAATAACTAATAATAACCAATAGTCATGAGTTTTAAATTCAATGTCTTAAGTACTTTAAATGAATTTAACCTTTCTAAAATGTTATTTTTTTTGTTTTTGGAGAGATTTTCACTGTAGGGCGCGTGCGCTCGCCAGACAGAGAGAGACATAGAGACAGAAAGCGAGAAATCACCCCCCAGGGGGGATGGTCACGCCGCAATCCCTTCTCCATTCTCCTCTCGGGATCTTGGGCACACATGCACACGCGCCCGGCGTGAGTTTTAAGCCACCGGGTCCGGGACATGAACCGTGGTCGACTACGTGGGAGTCCAGCAACATAGCCATTACGCTAACTGCTGGTTCCCTCTAAAATGTTATTTTGAATGTTTATCAACTCCATTATAATCTGTACAACAATGAATATCTTCATTTTGAATATTATCAACTAATGTTGATTGTATAAACTGGTTTCTTAATGCTCCAGTTGCCATTTTTGAGTTTCTCTCAAGATTAACCATAACATCGTGTGCTTGTTATTGAATTCTTTACTTTGTGATTTATCTGTTCATGTTGATTACCTTTTTTTTTCCAGGGACTTTTTACTGTATTAAATCTCTTGACACCTTGGTTTGTGGCTTCCTTTTTATTATAGTATTTACTTTTCATTGTATGGAAGTTGGAATTTCCATACAACTGAATATATTAAACTTTCCTTTGCTCTTCTTTTGAACTACATCAAAAGAAAAGAAAGAGCTGGCAAATATAGAATTATATTTTTATAATATTTTCTCAAACTCAAAATGTAATGCATATACATTTTGCAAGTTTTAGACTATACATAAAAGTTCTAAAAAAAGATAACATCCTTGGGACCAGCAGTTAGTGTAATGGCTATGTTGCTGGACTCCCACGTAGTCGACTGCAGTTTGAGTCCCGGACCCAGTGGCTTAAAACTCACGCCGGGCACGTGTGTGTGCATGCCCAAGATCCCAAGAGGAGAATGGAGGAGAAGGAATTGCAGTGTGGCCATCCCCCCTGGGGGGTGATTTCTCGCTTTCTGTCTCTATGTCTCTCTCTGTCTGTCTGGTGAGCGCATGCGCCCTATAGCAAAAACCTCTCCAAAAAAAAAAAAAAGAAAAGAAAAATAAAAGAATTTGGGGTATGCATGCATATGTGCCTGGAATATTTTTCAAGGTGCCAGGGCCAGGATTCAAACTATGTGGTTGTCCAAAAGCTGGCCCTCGCATGTATTTACAAAATTTTTACATTTCCCCCCCTGAATTTTGATCGTATTTACAGTTTTGTAACCTGTTTTTGTTTTGGGCATGTGTGCTTTCGCTGGGGAGAGACAGAGACAGTGAGAGGGGAAACGAGAAATCACTCCTTGGGAGGATGGCCGTAGTGTAATCCCTTCTCCATTTTCCTCCCAGGAACTTGGGCTCACCAGCACAAGTGCCCAGCATCATTTTCAAGCCACAAGTCTGGGACTCAAACCATAGCTGGCCCCATAGTGGGAGTCCAGTGACATAACCACTACACCATCTGCTGTCCTCTGTAACCTATGTTTTGCGTTAAAATTATGTCGATGAAACTTTTACCTATCATTAAATATTCTTTGAAAATAAATCATTTAAAAAAAGAATCTGCCCCGGATTTATTTTGGGATGAACCTAATTGTTTTCTATTTATCCTCAAGCCAAAGATTTAACCACCTTCTCTTCCCGGGCTGGCTGGTGATACCTGCTGCGTCTTCCTAGTTCATTCTCACCCAGTGTTGGTCTGTTTCTAGGCTCTGAGCTGTGCAGGGATCCAGGGCCTTGCACCTGTAATAGGCTCATCTCTCTTTTCTGAGCCCTCAGGGCTTCCTTTGTTGAACTAGAGCCCAGATCTGAAGATGTGCCTCACCATATTGTTAATGTTTAACACTGCCTCTGCTGGAAAACAACTCTCACCTCCCCCCCCATCTTTGCAGATGATTTTTCATCATCCTGAGAAAAATGAGCCTTGGCCTCCAGACCCAATAAAGCCAATGCCCCTTCCATGGAGAGCAGTGCTAGTTCCTGAGAGCCTGGAGGACCTGCAGCCCCAGGGAGATTAGCTGTGGAAGCAGGTAAGAAATACTCAGAGCGTGGGCTATCACAGCCACATTTTCCTGAATGAAAAATTTTGTGGTAGAGCATGTTAGCAAGGAGTCTCACGGTCCAGTGTCTGGCTACAGCTTGGCCATTTTCTTTATCTTTATATTTCTTTTTAAAAGTCCTCTTTAACTGCTGATTCAACGAGTAATCAGGGGTGGAGATAGGTGGCTTGCCCATTTCTATGAATTATAAACATAAGGTTGAAATGATTTAATTCAGGCAAGCTTTTCTGAGCACCTGCCATGCACCAAGCACTACGTTTGATACTGAGCATGATGTAGCGAGTGGAGCAAGGTGGAATTCCTTAGTTGGAGATTTTCTTTCCGCTGGCTCGGTGTTGATTTGGTCTCTGGGAGTGGTAGTACAACTTATTATTGTATTCTTCTCTTAGAAACCGTATGGTGGCTGTAAGGAGCCACTGGTGTAGTCACATCTGTTAAATAATCTTTTATTGAGTAGCTGCTCTATTTTAGACACTGTGCTGGTTATTGGGTCTCATTGTTGCAGGAGAAGGACTTCTCTAGCAGTGGAGGCAGGCGTGAAAAGCAAGCATTCCAAACACTGGTTATGAGCCCCAGGGAGCAGGGACTGCGCTCTTCACCGAGTGTCAGGGACAGAAGGGAAATGCTGTTTGAGATGGTCAGCAAATGGACAAAGACAGAGAATACAGCAATGCAGATGCCTGGAAGCTAAACAAATCCGTTGGTGAAATTGGAAAGTTCAAAGCTTAGTGTGTTTTCCCAAGTAATTTGTGAAGAAAATTTTGCTACTGCTTTTTTCCTCAATTGTGCTGCTTAGATGGAATTTCTTTAGTCTCGTTCTTATTAGACCAGCTCGAGAGATAAGAAAGGGTCTTAGTGCCTGTGACCAGAAACGCCAGCTTTACAGGATGGTGGACTTACAGGTTCATTCAAAGCGGTATCGAGCGGCCATGTGAAACCCTATGTACGTGTCAGACGAGTGCCCTGAGACCATGACAGGGCACAGGCCATGAAGGCTGAGGCCATCATAGGGTTGTTGGGCTGTCAGTGGTTTTGTTTGGGAAACTCTCCTTTCCCAAAAAGCCCTACTTGGAGAGTCGGTGCTGGCAGGAAGCCACCAGCCCCCTTCGAGCCTCAGCCTCTGAGACGGTGAATCGGGTTCCTCTTGGCCACGTCCTTTATTCATATGTGTACAAGTCGATTTTCAAGTTCACCTTTCTAAATCACTCATGCAACTTGGAAAGTTACTTGTATTTCCAAAACCATAACTTGTTCAGCTATAGATGAAACCCCAAATCTTCTTTGCTTGTTTCATGGAACCCCCAAAATCTGTTCTGCTTATCTCACAGGATTTATGAGGATTAGGCCTCAAAACCTAATTAATGGGGAAGGGCCCACTGAATCGTGAAATGGCGCCCAGCAGTGATGGCTGGAGTACCTTTAGTGGGGAAGATGGCTTATCTGTGATTGTCTGACACATCACATTGCCTCTCTAGGACCCCGATGTCTGTGTCCTATTTGGTTAGCATTGACTTTCACTGTCCTTTATCACAAATGCTTGTCCTTTAGTGGAAAGACTAAACTTTAGGGTCAGACAGACCTGGGCTAGAATCCTATTTCTAGTATTTAATAGCTGTTGACCTTGGAGAAACACTGTACCCTTGCTAAGACTCGGTATCTTCACTTTCTAAGGTAGGATTGTAATATCTGTCCCATAGTATTATGGTAAAGACACAATGAGGTGTGGGACCAGCAGTTAGTGTAATGGCTATGTCACTGGACTCCCACGTAGTTGACCGCGGTTCGCGTCCCGAACCTGGTGGCTTAAAACTCACACTGGGCACATGTGTGTGCATGCCCAAGATCCCGAGAGGAGAATAGAGGAGAAGGGATTGCAGCGTGGCCATCCCCCCGGGGGTGATTTCTCGCTTTCTATCTGTCTCTCTCTGTCTCTCTGGCAAGCTCATGCGCCCTATAGCAAAAACCTCTCCAAAAAACAAATAAATAAATAAATAAAGCTCATGCCAGGCGCGTGTGTGTGCGTGCCCAAGATCCCAAGAAGAGAATGGAGGAGAAAGGATTGCGGTGTGGCCATCTCCCTTGGGGGGATGATTTCTAGCTTTCTGTCTCTCTGTCTCTGTCTGTCTGGCGAACGAACGCCCCTATAGCAAAAACTTCTCAGAAAAAAAAAAAAAAAGGATTCAATGAGATGCTGCAGGCAAAGAACCTACCATATGATAAGCCCTCCTTAATTATTATTTTCCTTCTTATCTAATTCTTCTTCAGTTATTATGTCATGTGATTAGCTGTGTTGGGTGTCTAAGGGAATTGAATTCTTTAGTTTTCTGATGGTACAATGAGCTCCCCCACCACCTACTTCATCATCTTATGCCCGAATTATTCTTCTTTGTGTACATTATCACTTCCAAAATTTCAGCAGCCCAAGGCAGGAACCCAGCATCCCCAGATCTGCTGGTCCCTAGAGCCTGGAAGTACTGTGTTGATTGGTCCTGTCAGTGGATTCTAAGAACGATCTGGATATCAGTTAATGAAAGAGTCTCAGAGGGAAATCGTGACGCTCTGACTGATGCGGCACGGCCTGCACTCCATTCTGCCATCACTCACCCATCCCCTCACCTCCATGTAGCCCTCATGCTGAGGGCTGCTTGCCCATCTTGGTTCAGAACACCTCCTCTGCTTTGGTGCTCACCTCGTTCAAAGCCAAGGACTCCATCCTCCATCTGATTCTCCCAACACTCTGCCTGAGATAGGGCAGAGAAAACTCTGCTACAGAAACGTAGGGGCAGAAATATTAAACAGCATGCCTTAGGTCACCAAGAATAGGAACAAGAACTGAGGTTTGATGGATAGTCCAAAACTATTACCTTATCCCTAATACTGTTAGGAGCAGACTCCATGGAAAGGAACTTCAGTCTCCTAGTGAATTAGGAGAACCCTGGGGGAAACTGCTTTGACTCATTTTGGTAAATAAACCTCATGACTGAGGGAAGAATTTAATGTTGTGCAAAAGAAACAGACATTGTTTGAGTTCAAAGTGCTTCTATCTTCCATTCAGTTACACAATAAATTCTGAGAAAACAAAGTAAGCTTTTAGCCAGATATAAAGGGGACTATTCAGTCTCTATTTGCTTAGTAAAATCTATTTTCCAGAACTTACAGTGGTTCTGTGCATGGTGTAGTGGAGAGGATGTGGGTTATGAAATCAAATGCAATTGGATTTGAATTGCAGTGCAGAAATGTACTCAGCTCTGCGGTCTTGGGCACGTCCCTCTTACAGCCTCAGGATGCTAATCTGTAAAAATAGAGATTATAACACCTCATGACTGGTGATGGTCAGGACCCTCTGCACAAGTCAGGAGATGTCATTCATATTGGGCTATGAATGCATGGTGTTCCTTGCAGTAATATATCGTGGTAGCCCTGGTTATGGTGAAATGAAATGAAATAGTATCTAGTATACTTAATGAATTTTTGTTTTCATTTCCTTAATTGGCCACGTGTTTCTTATCTTACCAAGATTTCCTATCCTCTGTCACGTAGCGAGTCAGTTTCCTGTCTTAATGCCCTACATAAAGTTGAATGCTATGCTGCAGAGTCAACCTTTGGTCTTCTTCTCACCTAGGACTCCAGCCTCACAGTCCTTAGGGAGATGTGTCACAAACATGTGGCCTCACCTATGGCAAGAGGTCTTTTGAAAGGATGCTAGGCCACTTAGAATTTTAGAGAGTTTGGGTTTTGTGCTGTGGATAAGTCAGTCTGCTCGTCCCTAGTCTGTTTTTAAAGTATGCATGCCTTCATTTCACAAATGGTGAAAGACTTTAGGAACCAAGCGAGGTGTTAGCTGTGCTTCCTGATTTCAAGAAGCTCAGATCATAGTCAGGGGTGGGGAGCGGGGTAGAGCAAAGCAACCAGAAGCCAAGATTTAGAGCGTGAAAAGTAATAGTGGGAAGACGCATGAGATGTTCATGGCTCAGAGAGGAAGGAGGAAGAGTTGAGGGGATACTCTGCATTCAATGTCCAAACTGAGGCTGGGTTTTTCTGACAGTTCCTTAAGGTAGCATGGCTGGCAGGAGGTAGATCTGGGCTGTAATTCAGTTCTCCCATTCTCAGTCTATCGCTCGGCCCATCAACCCACCTCATGCCAATTTTGGATTTTCTTTACATGATGCTTTTTCCTTGTTCTACTTTTTAAGGCTTGTTTTCCTGCCCAGAACCGAGTGGCTTCTCTGAACATCTCTCATTATGATTCACACCAACCTGAAGAAGAAGTTCAGCTGCTGCGTCCTGGCCTTTCTCCTGTTTGCAGTCATTTGTGTGTGGAAGGAGAAGAAGAAAGGGAGTTACTACGATTCCCTTAAGTTGCAAGCCAAGGAATTCCAGGTTTTGAAGAGTCTGGAGAAACTGGCCATAGGGTCTAGTTCCCAGACTGTGTCCTCAAGCAGCACCCAGGACCCCCACAGGAGTGCCAAGGACCTAGTCAAGGCCAAACCAGAGGCTTCCTTCCAGGTGTGGAACAAAGACAGCTCTTCTAAAAACCTTATCCCCAGGCTGCAAAAGATCCGGAAGAATTATCTGAACATGAACAAGTACAAAGTGTCCTACAAGGGGCCAGGGCCTGGGGTCAAGTTCAGTGCGGAGGCCCTGCGCTGCCACCTCCGGGACCATGTGAATGTGTCTATGGTAGAGTCTACAGATTTTCCCTTCAACACCTCTGAATGGGAGGGTTTCCTGCCCACAGAGAATATTAGGACCAAGGCTGGACCATGGGGCAAATGTGCTGTCGTCTCCTCAGCAGGATCTCTGAAATCCTCCCAACTAGGCCAGGAAATAGGTATGTGCTGAGTGACAAGGTTGTTCTCGGAATAGCCAGTGCCCATTGGGCATTCGTAGTACTGGCCCAAGTGTGGCTAGGTGGGCCAGTGGAACAGGCCCAGGATACTGTTTTCAGCTGTCTTTCTCAGAGTCAGAAGTGCCATGGGGAATCATGGGACTCCAGGTCACTGGCATCTCTATCAGTCAGAACAGTTTTATTTATTTATTTTTTTAAATTTTATTATTTTACTGAACTTTATCTATTTATTCATTTTAATTTGACCAGAAAGAGCCAGAGTGTTAGTAAGAGGGCCGAGGGCGTGGGGGACTGAGTAAAGCAAGCTGCCATGGGACCAGCAGTTAGCGTAATGGCTATGTCGCTGGACTCCCATGTAGTTGACCTCGGTTTGAGTCCCAGACCAGTGGCTTAAAACTCATGCCAGATACGTGTGTGTGCCCAGGATCCTGAGAGGAGAATGGAGGAGAAGAGATTGCAGCGTGGCCATCCTCCCTGGGGGTTGATTTCTCACTTTCTGTCTCTCTGTCTTTCTGATGAGCTCATATGCTCTATAGCAAAAAACCTCTCAAAAAAAAGCAAGCCGCCAGGTCTGGGTCTTGAACCATGATCTGCCATGTGGGAGTCCAGCGCCTTAACCACCACGTCACCTCTGGCCCCAGAATAATTTTATATTTTTACATGTATTTTATATATATTTTGAATATTGACATGCTATAGAAGATTTCATTTGACAAGAGAGTTCTACCATAACCAATAAGCAAAACCACTGCAATTGGCCTTAGAAAATACTTGGAGCATAGATTTTTACTTCATTTTCAGGTTCTGAAATTCTGTTATTTTTACCTGATTAATAGAGTACTCTTTTTGCTTCAGCTATCTGGATAATTTTCTGCCCCTTTTTTTTTTTTTGAAAAGAATTAATTAGAGCAGAACTTGTTAACTTGGGGGCTGTCAATCAACTTTAGGGTGTTTATGAAGTCCTAAAATTGCATGCAAAAATATCAGTGCGTTAGATGTGTGTAATGTGTGTGTCTGTGCATCTTCCTCAGGAGAGCTACCATAGCTTGCAATTGATTTAAAGATCTATGACTCAAGAAAGGTTTAAGGATTACTGGTCTGGGGCCAGCAGGTGGGATAGTGGTTGTGGTGCTGGACACCCATATAGCCGACCATGGTTCAAGTCCCAGACTTGGTGGCTTAAAATTCAAACCAGGCATGTGTGCATGTGTGCCCAAAAATCCCGAGAGGAGATTGGAGGAGAAGGGATTACAGCATGGCCATTCCCCCCACCTCCCGCTGGGAGTGTGTGTGTGATTTCTCACTTTCTGTGTCTCCAGCAAGTGCATGTACCCTATAGCAAAAATCTCCCTTAAAAAAAAAAAAAAAACACTGCTTAAAATATATCAAGTTGCTTTTTTAGAAACCCTTTGCATTTAATAAAAATAGGAAGTCTATTTGTATTGTATACCTATACAACAGAGAGCTATGGATTTGCATAAGGCCTTTATTCCACATTTTACAAGAATGTGTTTTCTATTATTGTGAAATGAATAAGACTAAAGAAAACGAAGCACAGGAAGCTTTGCTCTTCTGTCGGGGGAGGTACTGGAGCAGGTGAGGTTCTGGGTCTCCTTTTTTATGCTCTTCTTATGACTGCCAGGAAGAATGGTCTGAAACCAAGCACAGCCCCTCAAAGAAGAAAAGTAGAACCGAACTGGAATCTGTAGAGCAGAGAGAAGCGGTGAGATCACATTTTCTACCTCCCTAAATGGGCTGGGGGCCCAGTCAAGACTAAACCCTAGGCCTCTTTCTAGGCTAATGAAAGCTGCCAAGATGACGAGCCCCACCCCAACTTTTGCTTTTGCCTTTTTTGCTTTCTTTTGGATTTTATTTCTTAGAAACCAAATGTGGGGTCAGCCAATGGCATGGTGGTTAAGGCAGCTGGATCCTAGATGGCCCACTGTGCAGTTTGATTCCTAGACCCAGTAGCTTGAGGTGGATGCCAGGTCTGTGTGTCTGTGTACATGCCCCAAATCCTGACAGGTGGGAGAAATGAAGGAGAGGGATTGTGGTGTGACCAGGGATGGTTTCTTGGCCCCCCTCATTCTCCTCGGCTAGTGTACATGCTCTCTGCAAAATTAAAAAATAATAGAGAAAGAAAAAGAAAAAAACTAAATGTGATTTGTTTCTGTTCATATATAATGAAACTGTTTTTTTTTTTCTCTTGCCTACTTTTGCTACATAATGATAATGTTTAGGTATCTCAGATGTCAACTGGCCCTTCTCTAATATGTCAAGTTATAATTGTATGCCTGGCTGAAACTGAGTTGCAGTGTAAGGCAGAGCCTGATACCTCTGTGAATTGGATATAGTTTTGCTTTTATTACTTCTTTCAAGTTTGGAGGGATTTAAATAGACCATTAAAATAATCTCTTTCTGTAGACATCAGTTACAACTTCTAATAAGTATTTCCATGGAAGGACTTTGATCTTGAGATATAATGAAAATTTCATGTTAGACTTCAGATGTTCTTCAAATGTCTTTTATAAGGTATATCCTCTGGGCACTTAAGTCTAATAAATATTTTAAGGCATTCATCCATTTATCCTTTTTATTCACTCATGGATCCATTGACAATACAAAATAGGAGCTTAGAATACAAAGGAGAAAGGGAGAGGAAAGGCCCTTTATTAAAGCCTCCAAGTTCCAGTCAGCGTGCCAGACCCAGAGACTTCCTGCTACATCGGGAATTTGTTGAGACCGTTTCCAACTTTTGAATATATCAGATGGCTTCAAATTATTTGTGCTTACAAATAAATAGGGCTAACAAAGATTTTGTGTGGGTAACTTAAGCAGCTACTATTGCTCTCCAATGGGGAAATATTCTCAGGAATGAGGCTAGAAGTCTCAAATAAGATACATTTTGCGGCTTTTTTAAGAATTTCATATAATGAAACTGTTTAGTTTTGCTATAGGGCACATGAACTCACAAGAAAGAGAAAGAGAGAGAGAGAGAGAGAGAGAGAGAGAGAAAAGGAAAGTGAGAAATCACCCCCTGGTGGCATTGTCCACACCACATCCCTTCTCCTCTATTCTTCTCTTGGGACTTTGAGGAGGCACACACATGCCACCAGGTTCTGGGACTAGAACACTAGAGTCGACCATGTGAGATCCAGCACCTTAACCTCCATGTCACCTGCTGGCCCAATTTTGAAGGTTTTATTTTATTTTATTTTATTTGTCCACTGCAATATTGTTTACCAGAGAGGTTGTAACAATGTATTGGGCCAGGCCAGCTTGTGGTGTGGTAGTTAAGGTGGCTGGATGCCACATGGCTGACTGTGTGGTTGCCGTTCTGAACCCGGCAACTTGAAAAACACTCCAGGCGTGTGTGCCTGCATGCCCCAAATCCTAAGAGGATGATGAAGGAGAAGGGGTAGCAGTGTGGTCATCCTTCCCAGGAGAGTGATTTCTCGCTTTTTCTTTGTCTCTCTGTCTCTCTCAGGCAAGTGTATGTGCCCTACAGCAAATGAAAACAAACAAAATAATAGATGAGGCCTCCAGCAGTGCCCCAAACCAATGATGGGCCCAATAAATTTCTGTTATTTTTAGTAGTTTATTTACATGTGTGAAGTGTCTCAGATTCCCTGGAATTTTCATTTCGGACTGTACCACGTTTGGTTTTAAGAACAATGTCACCGACGGGAGCATCTTTTGTGCACCTGCTGTGTGCCTAACGTGCCTTGCTTGTTCGAGCCTCTCAAGCGGTCCTATGAGGGAGGGAAGCTAAGATTATTGTTCTTGTTTCGCTGATTAGCTAAGTGTAGAGGCTCAAGAGGTTGCACAACTGGGTAATAGTAGATGGGAGTTTGAAAGCAGATCATTTGACACAAAGACACCCTCATAATAAAACTCATGATTAATCCTGTATCAGGTTAAAAAAAAATCCCTTGATTGTCTTGTTTCCTTGCTTCCCTGGAAGAAAGGAGAGAAACATGCTGAGTTGAGTTAAAGGCTGCATGGGAGAAAGTGCATTGTGTTTGGGCATCGTGGATAATCCTGTTTGAACGATGCGGGACCCAGAGGGTGAAGAGGGGTGAGAAATGAGGCCAGAAAGGTGGTCAGGTGTCAGTTGAGATGTTGTCACAATAAGGACTTTGGCTTTTATCCTTGAAGCCATGGAGAACCCTAGGTTTTGAGCCAAGAAGTGATGGAATCGTGTGTGTTTTGGAGCGATGTCTCCCTTCTCTATGGTCCTTTTCTCTGCTACTGTATGCTCTCTCTATCATTAAGAACTGTTGCTACATCCAGGTCAAAGTGCCCCACCTCTCTGGGCAGTGGTCGTGGTGGTGAAGACAAAGAGCCTGACTTGAGAAGTAACGTGAGGTGGAAGAGTCAGAACCTCGTGTCTAATGAAAAATGACCTCACGTGAGCGAGCTCAGGAGTTTCAAGCCTGAGAGTGGCTACATGGGATCACAGAATGTTTCCTGGAGGAAGGCAGATTCCATTTTGGGTGCGTCGAGTCTGAAATCTTTCTGGATTTCTCTGGGTGGACATCTATATAGTTTGGTATTTGATTCTAGAAAAGAGTCAGGTCTGGAGAGCAGACTCAGTTGTCTTTTGTATTGTGGTAAAGAGATACTTGTAGTCCAGGTAAGAAGGTTAACTAGAAAACCTAGAAAAAAGGTTTATGTTGAAAGGACAGGGAACAGACAGGACAAACAGAAGAATTCAGGAGGGCCAGAGAGAGAGACTGGATGAGAACCAGGCGTGTACCATGTGGTGGAAGTCCAAGGGGGTGGAATTCGGGGGCTGGTAACTATTGGCATCAGGGTCTGCAGTGGTGGGACAGTTCCTGCGCAGGACTGGAAGCACGCCTTTGGACTGAGTAGCTTGGAGAGCATCATCGGTTATATTGGGGTCAGCTACCTTCTTTTGGAAGGATCTAGATAGCAAATATTATTGACTTTGAAGCCCATATTTATCTTTCAAAACTGCTCAACTCTACTCTTGTAGTGCTAAAGCAATCCTAGATAGCAGTAAGTGAATAGGCTTGTCTATGTTCCAATAAGACTTTCGTTACGCAAATAAAAGATGGGCCAGATTTGGCCACAGGCCATAGCTTTTCAGCCCTAATCTGTAGTGTATTTACTTTCTCCAGTCAGAATCAGGATGTAAGTTTACATAAATGGTTATATGATTCATTAAGGTAATTTGAAAGTATACAAATATTTAGTGATAAATTGTGATAACACCTCTTTCATGATCATTTCTAGCTAGTTAGAGTTAGTGTACATGGAGGCAGTGGATTTTAATGCTTTTATGAATTTACTGACTAGGTATGTAATTATGTCACCTGCATATCTCCATACAGTGATGCATTTATTTCTTCCTTCTGTAATTTGCATTTTTTTCCCCCTGAGCTCTAATACTAAGTTAAAGAGATGAGGTAAATCTTGTGTTCTGTAGCCTTCTCTCTTGACAGGCTTGTTTGTTGGGATCCTAGTAGTTGTGAATTATTCTTTTCCTTTTTCTTTTTTTCTTTTCCCTTTATTTATTTTTTAAATTTTGCTACAGGGCATAGGTGCTAGCCAGATAAAGAGAGAGAAAACAAGAAAGCACCTCCCATGCAGCAATTTCTTCTCCATTCTCCTCTCGGGATTTTGGGCAGTAACACACACACACCTGGCATGTTTCTTAAGTTGCCAGGTCTGGGGCTTGAACTGCACAGTTGGCCATATGGGATCCAGCCACCTACCTTAAGCAACTTGCCACTGGCATCCACTGGCTAGCCCGGTTGTGGATTTTTCTGGAGATTTCCTAAAGGACTATTTGAGTTTGAAAGTTCTTTAAATTTTTTTTTTTTTAGAGGTTTTTGCTATAGGGCACATGCGCTCGCCAGACAGAGCGAGAGCGACAGACAGATAGAAAGCGAGAAATCACCCTCCAGGGGAGATGGCCACGTCGCGATCCATTCTCCTCCATTCTCCTCTTGCCTGGCGTGAGTTTAAGCCGCCAGGTCCAGGACGTGAACCGCGGTCGACTACATGGGAGTCCAGCAACATAGCCATTATGCTAACTGCTGGTCCCGAGTTTGAAAGTTCTTCAACCATCAATAGCAAGGGATGGTTTAACAGATAAGGATCCTATTCTTTCATCATGTGGACATGTCAGTGGCCTGTTTTAAAGATTTTTTTTTTCTGTTTGTTTTGTGTTTGTTTTTTCTTTTTAAAATTAAATCCAAAGTTCAGACCTGGGCTTCCATAGCCTTGCACGATCTCGTTCCTGACTTCTGGCTTCTTTATCTGTAGCTTTCATTTTTCTTCTCTTCACTTCCTTGTTTTCAGCCATGTCCTGACCCTCACTGGGGTCTCGACCCTTGCTATGTCCTCTACCTGGAGTAAACGTTTGGACCCTTTCCATACCAGTCCATCCTTTGGGTCTGAGGTGCCACATAGTCCTTGAAACATCACTCTGTGAAAAGGGCATTTTTCTCAGTGTCTAGATCATACAACACAGTTTATTGTGTCACAGTTTTAATCACAATCTATACACATCTTAGTTACAGGCAGTTGTGCTTACTTCGTGTCTGTCTCTGTGTAGAAGGATGGAAGATCTCTGAACAAGGACTTTGTCTTTCTTACTCACAACCATTGTCTTCAGCACCTAGGTCTGTACTGGCATAGGGTAGATGCCCAATGAACATTTGTTGAATGACCAAAACAATTCTCTCTTCTTTTTAAAGGTTTTTAAAATTTATTCCATGAGTAAGAGAGACAGAGAAAACCCGGCATTCCCAGTGGGGTCTTAAGGAAAGACCCAACCCCAGTTTTAGCCAGCCCCCAGATCACAGCCACTTGTGTGTCTAGCCTTTTTAGGAAGGTCCCTGGACATCAGCCTGGAGCCTGCCCGTGTGGATCAGCCGAAAGAGCATGCGTTTTACCCGTGAGCCATCACCCAGCCCCATCCTTCCTTGTGAAGACTATTGAGGTCTTGTCTTAACCCTCCTCTTCTGGTTGTTCTCCATTTGTCCCTGGAAACGCACCTTCCCCCCTCTTCCATTTGGCTGTGTTCCCTGAGAGGCTGACATTTGGACTACGTCCACAGGTATTCATTTCTTTCTGGCTTTTATTTGGGACTAACCTGGAGAAGCATTGGTATGAAGCTGAGGAGGACAGTGAGGTCAGGGCATCTACCCCGCAGAGGTCCCCCTGCAGAGCAGTCTCTCCCTTGACTGAAGGCCTCAGCCCTTGTCAGGCAGCTCTCTCACAGCCTGCAAATAGCCCTTTTATGAAGCCTCAATTGTTCCATCTGTGCTTGTCAGCTTTTCTTCGTGGATTCTCACTGATACTTCGTTCATCTGTGGAGTGGGCTGACTCAGTGAAGTTTCCGATGGATTTGCATTTCTCTTGTGATTACTACTGATCATTTTTGAAACCAGTGACCGATTATGACAGAACCTGTTGCAATTCTGAGTTGTGCAAAGGTGTACCTTCTGCTCTGTTTGCAGGTCATTGTGTGCCCTGTGAGCTGATAAAACCTTGGACTATGTACACCACACATAACCCTCACACCACCTGGATGAGATTGTATTCTGTGACTGAGGACAGGGTTACGTTTTTGTGAATGAAGCATCCAGATTCCTAAGGCTTAGTAGCTTTGCCTTGAAATAAATGAAATCCTTTAATTCTGTGGTCATCTCTTCCCAGATCGTCTTGTATTGAGCCAGATGCCCTCTGTTCTCCCCAGCCTTATCTGTGAGGATGAATAGTGACCCCAAAGCAAGCTCAGGTGAAGGGAAATAGAAACACAGAGCACTGGGATGACCCCCAAATCTGGTGCTGATTCCAGTGGTGAACTCCAAACTTGCTGGATCAACTAAGGTTTAGATGAGCTCTCACAGGATTGCAGAGGCTCAGTGTCTTGGCCACACAACTCAGTTTATTTTTTCACAGTTTTAGTCACAGTCTATACACATCTTAGCTACAGGCGGTTGTGCTTACTTATTGTCTCTCTCTGTGTAGAAGGATGGAAGATCTCTGAAGCAACGACTTTGCCTTTCTTACTCACAACCATTATCTTTAGCACTTACACCTGTGCCTGGGATAGAAAAAAATTAAAACATATAGTTTTTAAGAGTCGCTATTTCTCTTCCCCATCAGATCAATGCTGGCATAGAAACTTCTGTAGGTCTTCCAAACTGCTTAAATAGCTACAGGTCAAGGAGATGAAGTCCAGGAGTAATTAGTGTTTTTTTTTTTTTTTTTTTTAAAGGTAGCCTGTTTAATCTTTCTTGATTTTTTATTTCCCAGATCGTCTTGTATTGAGCCAGATGCCCTCTGTTCTCCCCAGCCTTATCTGTGAGGATGAATAGTGACCCCAAAGCAAGCTCCGGTGAAGGGAAATAGAAACACAGAGCACTGGGATGACCCCCAAATCTGGTGCTGATTCCAGTGGTGAACTCCAAACTTGCTGGATCAACTAAGGTTTAGATGAGCTCTCACAGGATTGCAGAGGCTCAGTGTCTTGGCCACACAACTCAGTTTATTTTTTCACAGTTTTAGTCACAGTCTATACACATCTTAGCTACAGGCGGTTGTGCTTACTTATTGTCTCTCTCTGTGTAGAAGGATGGAAGATCTCTGAAGCAACGACTTTGCCTTTCTTACTCACAACCATTATCTTTAGCACTTACACCTGTGCCTGGGATAGAAAAAAATTAAAACATATAGTTTTTAAGAGTCGCTATTTCTCTTCCCCATCAGATCAATGCTGGCATAGAAACTTCTGTAGGTCTTCCAAACTGCTTAAATAGCTACAGGTCAAGGAGATGAAGTCCAGGAGTAATTAGTGTTTTTTTTTTTTTTTTTTCTTAAAGGTAGCCTGTTTAATCTTACTGGATTTATTATATTATTTCTGACAATGTACTCACTTATTTAAAAAAAAGGAAAGAAAAAAGGAAAGAAAGAGAAAGGAAAGAAAGAAAGGAAGAAAACATGGCGTTTAATTTAGCCCAATAACGTCCTGCCTTATTTATGCCACACCAGGGGTATGACCCTTCCCTGGGCCTCAGATTCCTGAATGGGATACTTAGGGGCGTTTTGGATACCACAGTTCATCTCTCCATCTGCCAAGTGCTGCACAGTTTTCATAATGCAGTCGGGTACTTCACACTTGTGAGATAAGCTGAGCATATGGTAGTGTCTTCATTTTCCAACAGGAATAGAAATATCATCTACTGGTGATACCAAGAGCATGTTTGGCTTGCTCCTTTGGTAACTGGAGCAGTAATTCCACTGTACGCAGCAGACTGGCCTGCTCCTTACCTGTCATGCCTAGGCACTGTGGTGTCATTGAATGGGTTTCAGGAATGGTATGATATGGACCTCCTTAGCAATGGGCTGGCAGACAAGTGGGTTTCTCTGTCTATGAGCTTCACCTGAGCGCAAGTGTATTATTCCTAATCATGAGAGGATAGAAAAAGATTAGGAAGTATTTCCTTGACTTCTCCCCTTCTTCCCGCCTTCTCTTCCTCTGTCCTTCTCTCTAAGTATTTCCAGCACTCACCACTAATTTTCTGTCTCCTTGTGGTTTACAGATAATCACGATGCAGTCCTGAGGTTTAATGGGGCACCCACAGCCAACTTCCAACAAGATGTGGGCACGAAAACCACTATCCGCCTGATGAACTCTCAGGTAAAATTTCTTCTGTGCAGATGCTGAGCGACAGAGGGAGCATGTGTGGACTCCAAAGCAGAATGTATCTACAAGGAGCTCATCAAGCTGCTACCTTAACTAAGTCTCTGACCTTCCCGAGACCCAGATTTCTCATGTAAATGTGACTCAACCTGGTGATGTGTTCATAGAACACAAAGCAAACATCAGCTGAACTTGCTCTTGAAAGTAGTTAGATTATTTAAGAAATTTTGGGAGTCAATAAAATGTGGGAACGAAAAGGAATGGAAAACAACTGTAGACACCAGAGATGGTGTGGGAGGAGGGAGGGAAATGGCCGAGGGTGAGAAATAGGGAGAAAATATATATATATACACACATATTAATATATGAAACTAGAAATGGAAAATTTATATATATATGTGTGTGTGTGTGTATATATATACATTTATATATATATGTGTAAATGTATATATATATATATGAAAGTAGAAATGGAAAATTATGACATATATGATTAAGCCACTATGCAGTATATTCTGGATGGGAAATCACATTTTGTATGCTGTGATGACACTGAGCGAATGAATGTAAATTAATTAATTAATTAAAATTTAAAAATAAGCAAACAAAGGAAAGACCTGAAAAACAAAGCTCTCGTGGTATTAGCACACTGATGCAGGTGTCTAGTGCTTGGGAAAACCGTCATGTTGCCTGTTGTTGTGAGGTAGTACCGGGTGTGTTGCATGAGGGATGATAAAACCGAGACCATCCAGGGTGAGCTAAGAGTGATCTGAAAAGCAAAGGGCACAAAACCCATGAGAGCATTTTATAAACTGCCAAATGTTATACCAGTATTGTGAGACGTCATCACCATGTAATTATGTGTCACGTGGCATCAGGATTCATATATGACTTCATGAATTCTCCTCGATGATTAGTTTCCTGAAGAATTTCCAGGTAACACATCTGATTTCTCAATGCCAAGGGAAACTCAAGAAATATTCTTGCCACAACGTTTGTTTAATCGATTTAACTAGTGAGAAAAACTGGGTTACACATGTATCAAAAATTGCATGATAATGCTGCAAATCCACTCACCTCATTGACAAGTGGGAATATTTACCCTCCTTCCGCAGAGGTGCAAAGAGGAGGTGGCCACTGCTGCTGCCCCTCTCTGCACTGTTACAAGCATCCGTCCTTTAGCTTATGTGACATTCAGGGGATTTAAAGGCCTGGTGACTCCTCCCAATTGCTCTCATTTTTATCTTTTTTTTTTTTTTTTTTTTTTTTTTTTCTGCGCAAGAATATGAAGA